GGCACCTAAATACCGTCTCCTAGGGACAGTCTGTCATTGCTACACCCACCTTTATCATGTTGGAAAAGAAGGAACCTGGTTGATCCAAAAGTGTCTGGGACAAGATGTGTGTGTGCCAGAATGCTAAAAACTATACTAGGGAGCCAAAAAGAGGGAAGGGAGATCAAGCTTCATGACCTGACTGAAAGGGAAACCTTGATCAGGCTGAAATGAGGGAAGGTTGGCATGCAGAATTATCATATTGGGTGAAGACCCAAGGAGAAAAGGGGCGAACACAATACTTTGAAGAGGAATATTAGAAACAGTAAGAAGGACTGGAAGACCTGCCATCTTGCTTTCTGTGACAAAACAGCCTTGGGCTGGCTGAATGGATTGTGCTAAGTTCTTTTTAAATGCATTATATATGGTTTACAGCTGTTCTTCACTTACATAGAGCTCCCATCAGTAAATGTTATACACTAAGATTAATGTAGTATATCACTGTTAGTACAATATTAGCTTCTGTGGAAAAGGTTTGGCTGTGGTTTTGTGGGGTTTAATTTTTATTTATCTATATATACAATATACTCTTTAGTTATGCTGTTGCGTAACTGGTTTCCTGACAATGCACAAATGTACAGGACAACATGGGCAAGTTGAGACTAATTTTTTTCTTTTAACTCTTGAGTATTTGCGTCTAACTCTAGCTATACTCATTTAGTGTACTTTAATTTACTATACTATAATTACTAACATTTTTTTGAAAACTATGAGCAGTAAAAGCTCTCCACTTTGAAAAAACTGCCCTAATCCCTACTACTCTGAGATCTCATGTTCTTCTGGGGACTGAAGCTCATTCTTTGCAGTCTTCAGTCCTGAATATCTGTCTTGGGCATTGGTCCCTGATGAACAGACCTGAAGGAAATGTCTTTTCCTTATTGTCTGTAGTGTGAATTAGTCCAGTTTGCACTAGGATTTGAATTTGGGAAGGAAGAGAAGATTTGGGCCTCTAAGAATACAATAAACCCCATCTTTTATGAATGAGGACTCAGATGGAAATAATAAGTCATGTTGTCTCCAAGAAGGGGTACCCATTTGGGCAATGTGGTACCAGCAACAGTATCCCACAACCAGCAGTGTTGCTAGAAAAGAGGAGAATCAAGAACCAGCCTCACACACAGATGTTGTGGTGCATTTCTCATGGAAATATCTTTTCTAGATATTGATGTTTGGCTGTTATGTGTTGCCAAACATGCCCTGTAGTAACAACAGATACTGAGCTTATTGTTCTGTTGGACGAGGAAGATGAGCAAGAAAAAAAAACCAGACAGCATTACACAAAGCCAGATCTTTCCTAATTTGAAATGATTTATTAAGATGATAACTGAAACCCAGCTTATGTCTATTGAGAGTTTATTCACTTAAATAGCTGTAGTGAATTTAGACATGCTGCTAGCACAGCTGAGCAGAATAAAGGTTTTCTTTAGAATGAGTCTTATTCTAAAATGCCAGAGATCATTTAAACTAAATTATTCTCAGTATTAAATATGTTTTCCATAGCAGACTACTTCTCAAGAATTTATTTCCTGTGGAATAGAGTATCCTAATAGCATGCGCAGAAAAAAATGTAGGAAGAACAAATCAATAATTCCAACCCCAGTATTTCACTTCCAGCTTTTCCATTAATCAGAGTAGATCTGATTTAATTATTTTTCAAAATGCTAGTTCATGTATCATGTTAAGCACTTTCCAAAACTGAGGGCTGGAAATGTAATACCAAATATAATAAAATCTCAAACAGTTGTCTTGGGTTTTTGACTTTATGTATAAATGGTAGCTACTACTGGGTGACATAAAATACATTGCTATTAAGTGAACTTAGTTGAATAAACTGAAAGTATTTAAATCTTGTCAAGGAAGCTAGTCTACCTTTACATGGTTTAGGGTTTTTTTGCATTGTACCACTGAAGTGCTGATAGGCATATTTGTTAGCAATATTCATCTCTAAACTGATACTTCTCACAGTTTAACTTGAATGATAAACATAGGTTAAGGTAATTCATGTTGACCACCATTTCTGCTAACAACTGATATGCCTCGGGTGTTGTAGTGAAATTTCTCAGCACACTCCTGAAGCTGAAAAGGAGGACAGTTGGGCTGACAGGGACATCCTTTAGGTGGTTTGGAATTGTAGCAGTAGTCCTGTGCTGCCACCTCCAGAGGTCTGCTATGCTTTGCCATGAGCAGGGCAAACTGATCTTCTCAAGAGCAGAGCCTACCTTTTTTTCTAGTGGGCTGCAGTTTGATCCATGCAAAGAATCACTCTTATCTTCAGTTTCTAAGTTTAATGTGTTCTCACTGTAGTGAGTTTTTACTTAGCTCCAGAAAAGCAAGTTCATACTAAGAGAGCTGAGAAAACAAGATTCTTTTTACATATGTAAAATTTTAATTGAGTCTAAGCTCTTTGTTCTGCCCCTCAATTCATATATATCTTTTAAGAATCAGTTGTCTTACAAGATATTTAATAAGATTTTGCATCTGTAGATTATTAACTGTCCACATTTTTAGGGGTCTTAGCAGTTGTGCTGTCCTTCTGAGAGTGATTAGTTTTAAAAAAAGATACAAGTTTTGCATATGTAGGTGAGTTTTGTCATCTGATTAAAGATTTAGAAAAGAGATATCCAAAGCATGTATTTTCTCAGATGTGTACTATATGCAGAAATGAAAGCTACCTTTCATAAACATGGTCCTTTCTGTCTCTTTGTCTCTGATGAATCAGCATCACCTTCCTCCTCTCTAGTTTCCTAGTTAGTTTGTGCATGGTAACAAAACCTAAGATGGCCTGCAAACAAGTGGGTATTTTTAAAATAAGTAAGTGCATAAAACTATTGTTGTGTAATGTGTTAGTCTGAAAATGATAGCTCTGTGTTATGATTATTGCTCTTTTTGGATGAGGCATCTTGGTAAGAATGCCTTTTGTGATTCATATAAAGGAACTTTTATAATAGATAAGGGTAAAGGAGCTGATACTGATTTGGAAGCCAAAATGGGTTTATATACATACAATAAAAACTTGATTAGGAAGTCTCTTTCCAGAAGTCCATGATGAACTTAGTGAAAACCCTTGGTTGTAATTAGGCATTCATTTTATTGGTACCAAACTTTAAACTAGATGTGGACTTGTGCCGTTATTAATGATTCAAGACCATAATTTGAAGAAGTGTTACTTATTTTGCATCTGGAGCAAGAATCCAAGTGTTAATATGCTTTGTCTAGAAGTCTCTCTAACAAGAGGAATTCTTTCTGGTAGCTCCCTAGATAGATGGCTCCTTTGATCAGTATTTGAAAGATGCAGGAAGTTATTTTCTGTTTTAGTTTTCCTTCTACAGAAGTAAACATATACCAGTTTTAATTTTTCATTTTAGTGGGGAAAAAACTCTCACATCTAAAACTAATATAAGGGATTTGGTACTTTTGCAGCAAAAATAATAGCATTGTAGTCTTCCGTAAAAGAGTAAAATTCCAAGCGTAGTACTTCTGCCATTTCAGCTCTTGTACGATGACTCTCCCAATGTTAAACTTTCTTAAAGATCTAGTCAATAAGTGATGTCAAAATTTGTTTTGTAAAGTAGATAATATCTATCAGAGTTGATGGTGCTTTATAGAGTGTAGGTTTAAGTTGTATAGTTTAGGTATTTCAATAGCACAAGCATTATTGTTGGCTGCACAAATGCCCCTTTGCTTTGTGGATACTTGATGAATACATCCCATACTGCTGCACCCCTCTGCTTGTTAGTACTCAGGCTCACTTGTGAACTTCAGTGCAAGATACTGGTTTCAGGACATCCTGAAGATGTACTCTGTATTTTGAGCAATTTAATATAACGAGGATTTTGATTACATTTGTATGCTGCTATACTATAAAGTTAATGATTAGGAAAAAAGCACTGCAGATAGATCTCAGCTAAATAATAAAGTCTTGTTATACACTCTCACCAACTGAAACTGGAAGGACCATGTTTGTAAAGGTAGTAAAGTCCCCAGAAGATGCAAAAAAAGATGCTTAAGTATATTTGGAAAATTGGCATAAAGGCAACAGTGCACTATTGTGCTATTAAAAATACTACCAAAATAGTTTTTAAGATTTTGACCTAGAGTATTTGTCTTAACTAACTTTTCGGGAGACTATTGAGATTTGAGTCCTGCACTGAAACCTTCTTTATTTTATAAAGTAGATGTCCTGAACTGAACAGTGAAATGAGTCTCAATGTATGTCTGTTATCACATGTTCAGTTTTTCCACAAGGTATTGCCAAAGTTGTCCTCTTCCATGAGTTCAACTGCATTTCCCAGTAAAGTTATGATTTTATTAATGCATATACATTATTATTTTATTAATAGTAGATATTTCCTAATACCTTGAAAAAAAATAACAGTAGTTCAAGATGCATTCTGTTAAGGTGACCATATAATTTGCATTGATACAAATACTGGAAAGTCAAAAATGCTGCAGCTCAAAACCTGTTCATTCAAAAATGTTTTGATCTAAGTCCAACATATTGCTGTTTTACACAAGCTTTTGTAATTGTGCAACTGATGTACTGGATTGTAGCTTACTCCTTTTAAAATTACTCTCATTTTCCAAGTTTTTGAAACACCTTCCAAAAGTTATATTTTAGATTTTTTTAATAGGCTGCCAATTTGAAGTCATTTCTGGTAGAAGAATGAGTTCTTTGTACATTTTCCTCTTTTAATGTTAATTTAAATGTTATAGTAAGCAAACAGGCATGTAACAGGGTTTAATACTAAAAATGTTAATTCCTATGCCATAGCTATTGTATTCATTTTACACATAATGATTATTTAGCAGTATAATTGAATATGCCACTGAATTATGGTAGAGAGCAAAAACCTAAACTTAAATTCTTCATAGCTTTTTATGTTATGTCCTTTATATTATTTTCAGTTGTACTGTTACTGACCTATAAAAAAAGTTCTCTACTTTGCTTTTCCCTTTTATAGTTGTTTGAGATCACAGTGCCTCTTTCTCATGGCCCCAAACCCGTAACTGTGAGCTTTGCCAATCACACGTCCTGCCGATGCATGTCCAAGTTGGATGTTTACAGACAAGTTCATTCTATCATAAGACGTTCCTTGCCAGCAACGCAGACACAGTAAGTATGAAACTTGTCTTTCCTTTGACGTTATAAAATTAGGTTTAAATTATTGCTGGAAGCTTACACAATTAAGATAGGTGAACTTACCAGGTGAACTACACATTAGTAGTAGCAGAATGCGTTTTGCGAGGGAACTGATATTGTTTTACATGAAGAGAATGTTACTAAAGTAATATTACCTTTTTAAACAATGGATAAATTTGGCCTAGATAATTTAAAAATAGAGAATAATGTTGTTTGTGGGTTTTTTTTCATAGAAAGAGTAATGCAATTAAGGCTTAAAGGAAGTATCAAGAAGTAGACAACATTTCTCTCTCAAACTGTATTTTCCTATTTAAAACACGGTTTAAAAAAGGCTTGCTTTTAGGGAATCTTTTGGGACATCTTCATATGCCAGAGGTGAAAACAAAACAGAGTGGGAAGGGAAGATAGAGGGTTAATTGGCAGTCCACAGAATTAGCATATTGATTTGTTTGGTGATTTTGAGTGAGAAAAGTCACAGAAGAAATCTGGCACTGAAGCAAGTGTTATTAAACACTTGAAGAGTGATGATTTCATGATGTATAAATATTTAGGAGGCCAAAAATACACAACGGACTGAAGAACCAATGACTAGAACCTGAACTGCAATGAATTATAGATAATTTTAATAAGATGAGAATAGTGCAAAATGCCCAGAGATGTAAACTAGGCCATTTCCTCTATGTTTTCATTGAGCTGAAGTCTGGATGTTTTCTGACATGTTCCAGCTAAACACAGATTATATTCTGAGTTCAAATTGTTGAATTTGTCCATCAAAATGTGGATCATAACCAGTGGATTAGAAAAATGGTAGAAAATAAATCTGTTGACAGTTTAATTAATTGCATAATTAACAGATTATGAAAAAAGTCAACCCCCAAGAGTCACTAATAAAGCCAAATTATGCTGACTATTGGCAGCTTCTCAGTGCTTCCAGATTAAGAGCAGATTAAGCGCAAGAGTTTTTTCTAGCAAGGGAACGACGAGCCGTAGTTAGAGGAAAGTGTTACAGGTACAAGACTTTAACCAGTGCTTACAGGAAGCTGGATGGTCCTGCCAGTAAGCAATTCATGCTTCAACAAAGGTAAGAAAGGGCAGTACTAGATTATAATATATGCATATGTGCAGGTCTTCTCTACTGTTAAGTACTGTCTTTAATTTTAAAATCAATGACTTTTTACAATAGAACGGGAAAAAAACCCCTACAAAACAAAAAATCACAAAACAAACCAATAAAAAACACACAACCAACTAAGCTCAGTGCTTAGAGATTCAAGGCAGGAAAATAAAGATATCTGCATGTTCCTGGTGGGTGCCTGGATGTTTTTCAGAATCCTACTGGGTTTTTTTAATTTATACTGAAGTTCTTAATATCTTTTCAGCTTCTTCTTTTTCCTTAATACTTTTATTTATAGATTTGAATGCTAGTAAAACTGTTGTAAAGTGGAAACTTGGAAATGTACTTTCTTGTCACAGTGACATCTATGTATGTGCATGTATGTACATGCTCATTGTAACAGAAATATAGTAATGACTTTCTTATGTATTACTGAAAGAACTAACCAGTGTATAAATTCTGGTTTTAGGGTGGTAACACTTGGGTTCTAATAAGAATTCAATTATGCCACAATGCACATGTTAGAGAGAGAGAGAGAGAGAAGACATGTAAGATAGAATGCAAATAGTTGATTTTTTTTATTTTATGTAAAATATATTTCTGACAAAACTTTATCCTGCAAATTAAGGTTTAGGTCTTTTCCTGTTCTCCCAATGTTTTCCTTTCTTTCCTTATAAAAGGTACTGGGTACCTCTGCATACTTGTGGAGCTGAGACATGTCAGTTCATGTTAACCAGTGTTTCAGAATATCTCCTGGATTAATGGTCTTTTAGTTCATACTCTTCTCTGTTTATGTAGAATGTCATGAAGACATGCAACTGAGGTAGAAAGTTGTCACTCTATTTTAGAAGCTTAGTGATTTGGGGAGAGGAGCAGAGGGGACTTCAATATACATAATTAGGATCAAGTTTCTATGATGACCTTTTTTCCCCCGTGGTTTACAGTAGGCACTTACGGAACTGATAAGCCTGGTTTAGATGTGGTTTTGGATGTATATTGTACATGTTAAATGTTTTCCTCTTGTGTATTATCTGTCCTGAGACTGTAACAAGTTAGTGTGCTTATTTTTTTTAATTATTTTTTTAGTAGAGTTGTTAATTGGAAAGTGACATTTTCTGCAAAGTGGTTTACCTCTTGATTTTTTTTCTAGCGTTCCTGAGCTTACCTGAAGTGTCATAATAAGTAATTTTAAAATTTTAGCCGTGTGTCCTGGTAATTTTCTGGACTAGTGTCTAGAGCAGAACTAGAAGCAGCTCCAGTTCTTTTTACTGGGAGTCTCCAACCCTAATGCTTATCTTCAACTTTTGGTACCTTGGGGTTTGTGTTAACATTGCCTTCTCATGGGTTCATGTGCACTTGGTGTTTTCTTCATACTGTCTCACTGACACCCTTCTGTAGTTACTTTTAAACATTCTCAGCTAGAGCCAGGCGGCTCCAGGTGTGAGTTGTTTGTTGGGTTTTTTTTTTAAAATACAATACAGTAATATATCTGTAAACTACCCATACTATTTATTTCTGAAGCAGAATCAGCAAGCAGGCAAAGGGACCTACATGCCAAGTGAGGGAGTGAGATCATTAGCAGAATGAAATAAGGAAACACCAGCTTGATAAAACATGAGGTGATGCAGGGTGATGTTAAATGACAGCAATCTTTACTAGCAAAGAGTTGTTTAATGTAGTGGAGTGGTATACTTGACTGATGATCACGGAAGAGTATCCCAGCACCTGCATTTTTGAATGCATGAGTAATGGTGCTCAGGGGAATGAGAAGTGTTTAAAACGTGTAATGTATGTGCTGCCTTAACAGATGAGTATTTTAGAAATATCGCAGAAACAATGGATAAATGATGCAGCCTGGATGCATGAGCTTGGGCATGGCTTGTTCAAAGCTGTAATGTTACCTGTGGTAAGAAAGAAATTGCAAGCAAGGGAGATGAGATAATACACAAAAATACCTGTGATGCGCCTACTAGCCAAGTGCAGTCATTCTTTAAAAAGGCAATAGCTGATGTTGGGTTTTTTAACTTTGTTTGGTACCACTAGCTTGGCTGCAAAACTCTAGCAGGTAAAGAGCACTTCACTTCTAAAGTTAAGAGGCTTTGCTGAAGTCTGTAGCTTTAGATTCAATGAATTTATCCAGGATTTGAGGGCTGTTGAGGAACAGTCAGTTAATGGCATATGACTTTCACATAAAGGGGGAAAGAATCAAATAAGCTGATTTTATTTTCAAAAGTAAAGTTTTATCTACATCGCTCGTTCAGAAACTATTACCAGCTGTCTTTTGACTTTTATATGTGTGGAAATGCTTTTGTACTTCAAGAAACAACATCTGTGATTCTGTGAAACAACATAGAAAAATCATGCCTGTTAGCACCTATGCGGTGCTTGATATGTAAATATTTTTACAATGGCCTATTTTGTATATAAGTCTTACATTCAAGCATTAGATATGTTTCCGAACTACATTAGGAAAGTGCAAATATCCGCTTCTTGAAGTTAGAGCAAAAACTTGAAATGTGAGAAGGTATCTTCAACAGATGGTTGAAGATTCCTGTAGTGGAGAGAACCTAAATTAGTAACAGATTTGATAGGAGTTAAGCATAAGATTATGAATGAGCCGAAGCTCTTAGAAGTGTTTTTGTAATGGAGGGAGACAAAAGCAGTCAGCACCTAAAATCACTTGGGTTTTGAGTTCTTATCAACAGTATATTTCATTCCACAGGTGTCATGTGGCAAACAAGACCTGTCCAAAAAATCATATTTGGAATAATCAAGTTTGCAGATGTTTGGCACAGCATGATTTTGGTTTCTCTTCTCACCTTGGAGATGCTGGTAAGCAGTTTTGCTTAAAGGATTGAACGTGGTTCTGTGTTTTGATTTACCTAAAAGAGAAATTGAGAACATGAAAAGTAAATAGTTAAATCTTTATCGGTATTATTACTAGTTGTTGACTGTCTTTAAACATATTCTTGTTATAAAAACATCTTAAAAGGTATGAATTTGCTATCATTTCTTCATTTACGAATAGGTGAATGAGTAGACACAACATTCTGATAATGGTGCAACTTCCCTGTTGTATTTCTAGACACATCTGAAGGATTCCATATTTGTGGACCTAACAAAGAGCTGGATGAAGAAACCTGTCAGTGTGTCTGCAAAGGAGGTGTGCGACCCTCAAGCTGTGGACCTCACAAAGAATTACACAGGTCATCATGTCAGTGCATGTGCAAAAACAAACTTCTCCCTGCGTCCTGCGGGCCCAACAAGGAATTTGATGAAGATAGGTGCCAGTGTGTATGTAAAAAGACCTGTCCGAAACATCAGCCACTAAATCCTGCAAAATGCACCTGTGAATGTATAGAATCTCCCAATAAATGCTTCCTAAAAGGAAAAAGGTTCCATCAGCAGACATGCAGGTAAAAACTCAGTCTTTAGGCCTTTCATTGTTTTTAAGGTGTAAAATTTTGGGTTATGTCATTACTGTCTTGTTGACTTGCTTTGTAGTCTTTAGTAAACGATAAGCCTCCTCAATTTAGTTTTATCTTGTATGAATTTTATCATCCCTAAGAGGAAACTGCTAGGCAGAATAAGCATGTTAAATCATGTTTAGTTTCTTGTACTCCTAGTACTACTTCATGTGACTGGTTTGGGTTTTTTTGATGAAAATGATCTGCAAGTCCAAGTTCTCTGTTTTTTGATGCTACTTAAAATCCCACTCCTATTTTTCCCAAGAACTGAATATCGCAATTCAAATAATGCAAGTACTCCTAATTAGATTTCAGGGTTTAGTTCTGGAGATACCGTAATTAATTTTCAGTCCCTAAATTTTTACATATCCTTCACTTCATTCAAGTGATACTAAAGAGTGCATAAAAAGTCTTACAGCTCTGGGTGATTTTCTGTAAAAACTAGGCATATATAACTATAAAACAGTCCTGCCCACATTCATGATTTAAAATGGGATTTGTTTGGGAAGAAAACTCTGCAATTTCCTTATATATCACAGAAGCTTTTCCTTCCACGACTGCTACACCCATAGTGGTAGCAGTCTATATATAAAAATTTCAGTGACTTTAGGTTCTGAAAAACAAACAATGTCATTTCTGGCCCATATATTTTGTGAGTAAAGTTTTCCTGTAGAGTTTGCTTTGCTAAAACAAAACAATGCCATTTGGAGAATAAAGACACTTATTTATTAATATATGGGAATTAATTCTATTACATTAATAACAAATAACAATGTTCAGGCACTGGAAATGAAAAATAACAAATTGGGATATTTAAATGTCTGCGGTGATTTGTTACACCTTATATAATTTTTTTATTATAGCATGTAATTATTTGGCATATATTGCCATATGTATACACTAGTTCATCTTGAATAAAGAAAAAGTCACAGCACCTATATTGAAGTTTCTAAATTATGGAAAAATCATAGCATGGTTTGTGTTGGACAGGACCTTAAAGATCACCTAGTTCCAACCCTCTGCCATGGGCAGAGACATCTCCCACTAGACCAGGTTGCTCAAAGATTTAAAATAACTGGCATTACCTCTTTTCCTTTGTTTGAGTGGTATATAAGAGTTTTTAGAAATAAAAGAAATAAATTCCACTCTATCATTCAGCTTTTGTTTCAACTGTGTGTTTGCGGAGGAAAAGCAGCCAAACTGGTTACAAGACAATTAGCAAGTGAGAAAGCTGTAGCACTACTCCAGTGTGCAATTCCAGCAGCACTACACATATAAACCATGTGTATTTTAAAAGAACTTTCACAACCAGAAGAGCTAGACATTAAAAAAGCTAAGAAATGCCATAGCGAATATCTGATGGTATGTCTGTTCATTTAAGTATTTAGTACTTAAAGGAAAGAGTTGAGCCCAGCTTTTCTCTGTGGTGATGTGGTTGAATACGATAAAGAGTTTTGAAAGGAAAAAACCCTCGTTGTAAAGCATGCTGGCTTTTGTGGTGATCGTGCTGTTACCACCCCTAAAAGTAGAATTTCTACTTCAGTTTCATCTGTGGAGTTTTTAGACTGTGTAAAATGACAAACCTGAACATTGTGTAGCAAAAAAAAGTCCCAATTTCTGTCCATAAAGTTGCCACTGACTTACCCAACACGATACTCAGATTGTCCTCATCAAAACGGACATCTCTCACATGAAAGCACTCCATAAAAAACATTCAGCCCAAATCTTTTGAAAGACCTAGTCTATTGTTCAGCAGAGTTTCCTAAGGAAACCACGTTTATATAGTTACAATGACTCTGCTGCTATTCACCCTATGCTATCACCTCCAAAATTTATTTTGGACAGTTTTGGCAGGGCCAGATAACTAGGCACCTCAGCTGCAAAGTATTTTAGGGGAGAAGAGAGCCTTTCTTGCTCTGTTTCAGTGTCCCAAATAAGGATAGGACTGCAGTAACCTGACCTTGACTGCTGCTAGACACCAACTCACATGGGAGAGATGCTTTATAGCACTCTCAAGTGCACAGTTCACGAGGAGGCATGAATCCTAAACAAAGTGAACTCCTCGTATTTAATGATTACATGACTGCTTTTCATTTTTTTTTAACATGTCATATGTGAGTGGAAGAGTTTGGCTTCGTTCGTTCTTTTTTTTTTTTTTCCTCCCTTATCTTTCTCTTATTTCATTTTACTGTCACTAGGAAATAGTCTAACTTTCACGGAAGAGGCAGGCAAAGAAGACAGGTTCAGCATTTCATCCATTGCATCTCTCTGGAGGATTTTTTTTTCCCAGAACAGACCTACTGATAGTTAGCCTGTTTGCTTGGAGTAATTAGATCCTTTGGCAAACATTTTTCTTGCTTTTTTTACCACTTTTCCCAAACTTTATTGGACAGAAGATCAGCAGGACTTTGTGAGATTCCCATGAACTGTTACACTGATCTCAAAAATCTGTATTAAATGGCACAAAATAATGTTACTCCCTTAATTACAGAGACCACCCTGATGAACCAGTCTATGATTAATGACATTGGAAACACTGAACAAGACATGACTAGTTAATCAATATCATGCTTGCAGCCTTCCTCATTCCTTATTGCTTTCCTCATAGCTAGGTTCATTGGTTGACCTGGTTGGTGTGAATTTATGTAACTGTAATCCAGAGCTCATATCACATACAAATTATTGCAAAGTAGTAATTTAATATCCAAAACAAGCACTCAACGTATTCACTTACCTGCAGCAGTAGCCACAAGCCTGAAACGAGAATTGGTTAGGGCAGAGGATAGCGGCGTTGCCTTAATATAGTGTACCGCAGTGTCCCTGAATTGAAGTAAGTATGAATTATAGCAATAGATCATAATATCAGTGTTTCACAAACCGGCACACAGTAAATGCAAGTTTTAAGTATAACTGTGTTGAAATTCAAACATATACTTTTGTCTTTTGACTCATTGCCAGTGTCTGAAAAAAAAAACACAGACTTGTACTTTGTCTCCATTATACACCAGAAAGAATTTAGCATTGTTATTGTAAGGTTATTTTAGGTCGAGTTCTTGTTTTAATAGAAAAATAAAATAGGAAAAGGAAGAGTTCAGGGACAACCACAGATTTTATCTTTGTGTAAGTTCTATTTTTCAGTCAAGGAATCTGTGAAGAAAAGTTCTTCTGCTTAGGTAGATGTGACTTGTGTTTTAGTGCTTTATTAAACTTATTTTAATCAAATTGGGACTATTTATGTTCTTTTTCCTTCAAGATATGTCCTAAATGTGCAGGCTCTGATCTTACTTCAGAATGCACATAGGTGCAATATGAACATTCCCACTGGCCTCAGAGAATGCCTGTAGGAGTTTGCAACTTGAAAGGAAGTATGTTCTCATTTTCAAGATCAGAGTCACAGTGTAACATATGCAGGCAAATCTCTTTCAGGCCTATGGCATTAGTGTGAATAAGGTTGAGAAACTTGCCCTGGGTAGGACAATGGTAGTTATGATTATTACCTGATTCTGGATTGCCACCTCAATCTGACAGAATGCCATAACAAGCCAGTTTTAGTACAGAAAAATATTACTGTATTTTAAAAATTAAATGTAAAAAAACCCTATTCAGGGGGAGAATATGACTACAATCAGGCAATACATTAAAAATATTTGTATCTGTTGCAATAGAATAATTTCTTTTTAGTAACGTCTGTTATTCTTTCATGTTTTTTGAAGAACAGTCCAATTAAAAGTAGTTGCAAGAGCCAAAACAGAAATTAAAAGTTATGTGTTTGTAGAAATTAAATAAACAGTCAAGAAATGGCCGTCTACATGCACACAGATTTCTATTCCACGTCGATATAAGTAATCCTGTTTTAACGACCACTTTTTTTTCATTTCTTTAGTTGTTACAGACCACCATGTACAGTCCGAACGAAACGCTGTGATGCTGGATTTTATTTTAGTGAAGAAGTGTGCCGCTGTGTACCCACATATTGGAAAAGACCACTTATGAATTAGTGAAGAGAGCACTACTTGCTATTTTGGTGTCCATTTTTCCATTAGAACAAAAGAACAACAGAAACTTTGCTAATATTTGGAATTAAATGTTCACCAGAGACCCTGTGGGCCTTTCACAGACAGACTCATTCTGCTTTTCTCAAGATGTGGAAAGCAAATGTAGAAAATAACTGGGGTTCGTGTTTTGTAAAGAACTCAATAAGGACTTATTTTCTGCCAATGACCAAACAGCCTAGGTTCTCCTTCTTGTGATTTTTTTTTGAAAGAGATAATGACTATATAATTTATTTCCACTAAAACCATTGTGCAGCATTTCTGTTTATAGCAGTAACAATTGTTAAAGCTCACTGTGATCAATATTTTTATATCATGCAAAGTATGTTTAAAATAAAATGGAAATTGTATTATGTAATGGTGAGAATGTTTAATCATCTGCTTCAAGAAAGGAACCACAATTTAGCTTTAGTATCAAGGTTCTTTAAAGGGGGAAAGATGATAGAGAAAAATCATTTTTACAAAAGAGAGACTACACATATTTTCTCATACCTGTTATATATGTCATTTGAAATAGAAGAGAGTTGTACTTAGACTTACCATGACCCAGTGATATTTCTGTCTTTAGAATGAAACTAGCAAAGCAAGTAAAATTAATAACTAATGAAAACATTGTAGATCCCGTACAATGCCCAAGAATAAGGACTATATTTAGAGGACAGCAGCAACTACTCACATTTAAATATATTTTCCTTCTATTTTATTTTTTGTTATCATTCCTAAATAATAATATGCCTATTGAGGGTTATTAGTATGAATATTGAAGGTTATTAGTATGAAACTGGAAATGCCAACTACACTTTTTATTTAGTGTTCCAGGTTATATACAGCTAAGTAATTCAGAATGCGTTGATGCACTTTTTCAGAAAGTCAGTGAAGTGTCTTTATCAGCAATGTATCTGTGCAGAAATACTTTGAAGGAAAAAAATACAATTTATATTCCAATGGGGTCATGAAAGGACTTCTGCCAGGCTGGTATGGATTGACATAATCTCTATATAAAAAAATTGTCAGGACTTCTTTTTACTAAAAGAATGCAAAATCAAACATCTTCAACTCTAGAAAGAGGTAAGGCTTTTAACTTGCATGAAAAGGGTGATGCACATACAACAATATTCACATTTAAAATATTTCAGAAATTGGGAGCTGTTAAATTATGAAAACTTTATTGGGTGCGGAAGTGGAGTAAGCAAAGCTACAAAGCAAGGTTTTTGTGACAGGAGAGAGGGCAGATCTGTAAAATAATTTCGATGTCAGTGCTGATACTAAGCAGACGTTCTTAAAAGAGTTATTATTGCAGTAGCATATTTCCTAGAAAGCAGGAGGGGTGGCGAAGTTGCTTTTCTAGATTCCTGCATTTAGATGTCAGAGTTCCCAAAACTGACTGAAAGTTACTTTTCATTATCAGGTTCCCATCATGGGTTAAGACAGTCTAACAAGTAGGTAGGGTGAGAGGCAGCTTGAGAGTTCACATCCTCTGTACATCTAGCGTTCTCAATGTCAGCTGTTTATTATCCAAATAGGATGATACTATTAAATTTAGGCATACAAATACTAAGGAATGTCTTAATTTAACTCTGTTTTCTCAGAAGTCAAATGCGGGTAGAATTCCATGCAGATCATCAGTGTCAACACTGGCATGTCAATCTACTAGCAAGAAGTGAATTGTCAAAACTTCATTTCATATTATTAAAGATCCAGGCATCCACTTCAATGTCAACTGCTTGAAGGAAGCATAGCATTACCTTAAGAAATCAATTAAAGAGCAAACTTTGATGAAGACTTGAGGCAAGAAACTGTAGGTGAAGCTCCCAAAATAAGACTTTTAATTTCTATCCAAGCCCAATACAAAAGAGAGGCAGTGGGGAAAGGGCAAACCAAGTCTGAAACCAGGAATAGAGGCTAAATAAGCCAGTATTTAATACATGAAATATGTACTTCTAGTTAAAAAGGAGGAGGAGAGGGCACAAATGAAGACAGAGCAAAACTGCATTCCAACAAATAATTCCATGTAGACCATAAAAAAATGCATGTTACAATACTATACAAATTAAAAAACCCACCTATGCTGAACTGAGCAATGCTCACTTTACATGTCTAAACTATCTGAAAGGAGTTCATGAAAACAGAGCTAATAAAACCATTCTGGATAAACAGGTATTTGTATTTCTGCTGAGCATACTACACTCCAAAATGATAAAACCCATCAAGGTAGGGAAAAGAAGGGAGTTTGAAAATGAGGACCCTGAACAGGAAGTTCCAATTTTATTACAAACATCAGCATTCAAGTAAGAATGACTTTCTTGAATGTACGTATTTTTCACTTTCTTAACTTTCCAAATACTGAGACTTTTGGACATAAATTAACTAAATCACAAAATAAAACTAAGATTTAAAGAAAACAACTGACTCTTAGAAGTTAATGAAAACAGAGTTTGAGCAAAGTGACTGGTTACCATTCTGAAAGGTATGCAGATGAGTAGAATAACATATGCAGGCAGTTGATAACTTTTACTGCTAATCAGGCTCTCCAATTGTGCTTTACACGAAAATAGCAGAGAGGGGGTTAAATGCATTTTACACAATAACACAATAAATATCACAATTATTATCATAAGTATAGGCTACAGATTTCCTATTCTATGTGATAAAATGTGATTCTGTTTATCTCAGTGCCATCAGAAAATCATCTATATTTAAACAAGTGTTTATCTGCAGAGAAAGAGGGTGGTGGTATAATCTGTATAACAGGTCCTCCTTGCATCTTAGATAGTTTTACACCTTTTTCAGTCTTGAAGTGTTAGTTGATTATAATTTCCCTGCAATTTTCCTCTTCATTTCCAATCTCAATTTAGTATACATAAACCATATAAAAAGACACTATACAGATTAAAAGATGATCTAAAAGTGATAGTTCTAGATACAAGATATGCTGCACTAACTCTGAATAAAAAGATTATATTGTTATTTCTTCAGAACTCCTGTACCTTCTAAAAAAAATACATGAGTGGGGAGAGTAGGTGTAACTCCACAGTAAATCACATTTAATAGTAAATGGACTTATGCTTGCATTTCAACAGGAATTTACACTTACCATACTCTTCCAATGTCATGCTAGATGGAGACCATACATTGTGCAGAGCAACCCCTCTCTACCTGTATTAACAGAAGGATGTAGTATTTACAGTATGACTGTTGTAAGTCTGCTGACGTTTGTTTAATTCATGTTGAACAAGTTGATAGTAAATCAGTTCTCTTAGTTCTATTTGAAAGACCAGCATGAAATCTTGCATATGCAGCATATCGTCTTGAAAGGTTTAGTGTTAGGGTTGCTTTCAGTACTCTCATTTTCAGTCTTCAGTTCTCAGTGACACCTCCCAGTGCCCTTGAATTTTAACATCTCTCTCTCTCCTTCTGATTTTCCGGAGTATAACTAGCTATCATATCTGCTGAAAGCTAGGAATGGAGTAATTTATACAGCCAGTAAGCTCATAAAGAGATTAGCCTGAGGAATAGACTGTGTTCTTTTCAGTAGTATTTAATTTATATTTAAGAATATATTCTTTAAAGATTATTTATTAAATAATATTTTGCATTATTTGGACATACAAAAGGTTTCTGTCATGTAGAGAAGTTTAAAGGTGATCAACTCGTAATTTTCAGAATTTATGCAATTTAGTCATTATGACAGAATAATTATTTATGCTATTATAGGATTTTTTACTTTACTGAAAAAAGGAAAATAATAATTGATAATTTATTTAATAGCATTCTTTTTTTGTCTCTTTTCCTTTCCCATTTCAGGTAAGAGGTCTGGAAAAGACCACAGCACAAGCTTCTGACTGAGTGATGAAATACTAAGGCCAAATGGACCAGGTATTTTTTTTAATGTAAATATGAAGGACTAATTAAATTAGGCCAGTTTAATGCAGGTTTATGACCCCCTCATTACGCTAGAGTTCTTACAAGCTCTGGATAGATCAAAACGTTTTTATAGAGTGATGTATCTGGACTCATTTTATTTATATTTTCATGTCTAAATGTTGTGATGGATTCTGAACAGCAGCAAGCATTAAGACATCACCAATTTTAGAATAGCACAGTTTCTAAAATTTCAATAGTTTATCATTGTAAAAATGTGTATTTTATCTATAGTCTGAACCTGTGAGTCAAGGGACCTTACTTAAGCTTGAGAATGTATTGAATTACGAAACATAGCAAATTCCAGAAAGAAACTAAAAACCTTAAACCACAATGCTTTACTCTTTTGTATAAGCATTGCTACTTGTAACAAACCACTAAGGAAATCTCTGAAAATTGTTCATTACCATTTAGTCCTTTTTCTTCTCAGCAAAATATTGTCAAGAAAATAATATCCTGCAGATTCAGATATTTTTCCTGGATAAGGGTGCTGTATCCATTTCTGTCGGACACTGACCTTTCAACTGAGATTCAGCAAACTCTTTATCCTTTTACTACATTTGTGATTAGTCGTATGTCGTCATTGAACTCTTCCCCTTTGCCCTCTTTTTCAACTTAAATTACCTCTTAGATTTCTGGACCACATCTCAGTCTCCCTGTAAGAATATCTGTATTTCCCTTTCAGACTCTCTCACTTAACACTGTTAACTCTAATCCTTCCATTTCCCTTTCATATTCAAATCTCTGACTGTAAGTGACATTGCTTTCCTCTCTATTATCGTGAACACCTCTTTCCACTCTCTGCTTTAAGTAACCATGCCGATGTGGGGCTTTAATCTGTTTTCACGTGTCTAGTGATACTACTCTTAATTATACATACATGAAAGAACGTGTGTTAAAAGACAGTTTGAAACTTCACGCTCCCAAGTGTGCAAATTCAATCTGCCTATGCAAATAATAAAAAAAGATCTTGCAATTGAGAGCCTCCTAATGCGAACTTGCAAATAAAAATAACAGATGCAGAAATCACTCTAGCATATTACACTTCAAACAGAAGACAATTTATGATACCACCCTTCCTCTGAAAAACACAGGTTGTAATTCTGCTGGGTGCTGGATACTATCTCTGCAGTCTAACAGTGCACTAACGCAGTCCTCAACGACATCCAGCACAGACTGCGGTCTGTGCTCTTCCTTGGCACAGCCATGCCCACCTCTAATGCTTTACATCACTGTGAAGACAGATGAAAAGTGGTCACAGGATCCCTTCCAGAAGGATAATGCCATTTTTAAGGATATATAGCATTGGTAAGCTCAAGTTGCTTTTCACCAGCCTGCACCCTGTCCAGTAATGTGGATGGAGAGAGCTACTAGGTCACAGAACACTTTAGGCTCAACTTAGTCCGTGGTTTAGCACCAAGGCAGATACTATGTTGGTTTCGGTTG